ATACCCAAGTTTTTCAATGAAGAAACAGTTTAATGATAAAATTGTATAATATATCCTCTAAAGCATAATTGTGTCGCCATAAACTGTCTAGTGACAGTTAGAGCACCATTTTTAACTCTTCAAGTTCCTTGCTATTGAGATACTATGATCAGTATATTCCGACTGGAACAGCAGATGTTGCTGTTCGACTCACAGGCAGAGGGTTGGGGTGCCGCTTGGGTGGAACGCCTTCCTCATACACAGAGGTCTCTGGGTTTGGTGTCTGGCACTGTGTGTGTACACACACACACACACACACACACACACACACACTTAGAGGCCGAAATTTTAAAAGGGAAATGTGTACCATAGATCAGTGTCTATTCTTTTAAAAGTCTCATGTTACAGAGATTCTCCTTCTAGTATTGCCAAGGTAGTGATGTTGCTTGCAGATGTACGATTATAAGATCGGATATAAATTGCTTAAGTCTATTTCAGCTATACTGTTATGAAACCACATGAATGTATGCAGGCGTAATTAGAAGACCCATAACATTCAAATTGCAAAGAGAAAAACTGTATGAATGTTACTGTCTGCTTTGTGTCAGAAGTTGTGATTATCCAAAGTTAATTTAGGCACGAATACTATTCTGTCCCTCAGAGTAACTTCAGTTCTTCAATGTGTGAAATATGTTCTGCTGGTGTAACTGAAGCACCATCTTGTGTTGAAGAGGGTTTTGCAAATGTGGGACTTGGTATAATTGACTTAATATTTCTATTGTACTTTGGCTTAATCTACATTAAGTAATTTCAATGGCTTTACATCAAAGAGTGTAGAACCTTTGTTGTTTATTTGAACAAATTAAAAATTTTGCTTTGATATTATTATTATTCAAGATTTGGCTTTTAAAAAATTTCCTTGAGAATTTGCAGTTACTTGTTTTTTGATTTTATATGTATATAATACTTTCTATTTTGGCCATTTGTGGTATAAAGTGTGAAGGAAGTGATACACAATTAAATTTTTCCAGCATAAAATAAATCAAATTTAGTATTTCTAGTATGAGTCACTAGTAGACAAATAATAAAATGGTATCTTGCAAAATTAGAATCAAAGATTAGAACATATATATAAAAATTTACTTTAATGGTCAAGAAATGATTATCTTGAGAAATAAAAATCCCAAGAATTAAATAGAAATCTTCATATCCTTAAAAAATTCATGGCAGGAAGCCCGCCCCGCCCCCTGGTGGGCTGAGCTGGCCACACACACACACACACATAAATAAATAAAAATTAAAAAAAAAAAAAAATTCATGGCAGGGGACCGTCTTCTCCTGACAGTGCTGACTTCACCTGGGCTAAGGTGGGCGGGACGTACCCTAGATGATGCAGATTCATGACACAGCGGGCTTTCAGGGAGCTTGTCTCTATTGTGCGCACATTCCTATAAGGTTAATTACAGCTGATCTGGAACCTAGAATGCTGTGAAATTGGAAACTTTTCAACCTATTTTATATGGCAACAATTTTGTGACCTTTTCCCCCTCGTCAACACCACTTAAAAGTTCAACTTCAGTGTTTGTAATTATACTTATTCATATGGTACAGTGATAATTTGGTGTAAGTGTACACATGTAATGATCAATTCTTGGTAATTAGCATTTCTGTCTTCTTAAATATTTGTCGTTTTTGTGTTGGGAGTCCTTGAACTCCTCTCTTCTAATTCTTTTTAAAATACGTAGAAGTGCTGTAGGACACTAGAACATATTCCCCTGCACTTGGTTCCTGTCATCCAGCATTGCTCTAGCCCCTCTCTACTCTTTGCAGCCTCTACTTTTCTAGGAAATCAACACTGTAGCTTTCATTTTATTTATTTATTTATTTTTTTTGGCGGAACTGGAGTTTGAACTCAGGCCCCTGAGCTTGCCAAGCAAGCGCTTATTCCATTGAGCCATCTCCCCAGCCCTAACACTGTAGCTTTCAAATATGAGTAAGAACATAGAAGGAAATGATATACAATTACTTCAAGTGATACACAATTACTCCAAGAACATAGAGTATTTGTCTTTTGTGGGAAGATTATTTTCTTTGATATAATTAGGTCTTTAGTTCCAGCCATGTGCTTCTGTCCAGAAGCGGGACAGAAGGGAGACCCGAGCAGGTTGCCAGGATTTCATTCTTTTGGTGGATGAACATTTCATTATCTATACACACCACATTTTCTTTACTTTGTGTCTAATGATGCACATCTTGGTTGGTTCTCAAATGTCGCTTCACTCTGTTGTTTCCTTTGCTGTACAGAAGTATCCTAGTTTGATATAATCTCCTGTGCCTATTTGTCTTTACTGCCTGTGTTTCTGTGGTCTTATTCAAAAAGTCATTGCTTCACTGTCTCATAGTGTTTCTCTATGTTTTATTCTAGTAGTTTCAGGGTTTCTTTCTGTCTTTTATACATTTCAAGTTGATCTGGAGTTAATATGGTAAGAGATAGGGGTTTGGTTTCATTCTTCTGCCTATGAATATCCAGTTTTCTTGTACCATGTCTTGAAGAGATTGTCCTTGCTCGCGTGTATAGTTTTGATGCCTTTGTTGAAGTCCAGTTGGGTAAAGATGTGTGGATTTATTTCTAGGCTATCTTCTCTGTTCCACTAATCGATGTCAGTTTTCATGCCAGAGCTTTGAGGTTTGGGCCACTCTAGCTTACAGCAGCAGTGGCGAACCGTTCAGAGCTGTCAGTGATAACACGCATCCTGCTGCAGCCCATGTGCCGCAGGCTCGCCACCATTAGCTTAGAGGATGTTTTTAAAGGTCAGCTATTTGGATGCCTCCAGCTCTTTCACTTGCTCAGGGTTTTGAAGTTTTACTACTCAGAGCTTTGATGTTTTCAGTGTTTTAGGATTGTGTTCTGTATTTCCATGAAGAATGTAATAGGTATTTTTCCATTGGTAAGTTACTGTGGCTTGAATCTGTAAATCGTTTTGGGCAGTATGGATGTTTTAGCAGTATTCTTCTAATCCATGAACATAGGATGTTTTTCATCTTTTTATGTCCTCTTTGAGATTTTTCATCAGTATTTGTAATTTTTGTTCTAAAGACCATTCATACACTTAACTTTATTCCTAGATGATTTCTTTTATTTTTGTGGCTCTTATAAATGAGATATTTTTTCAGCAAGTTCATTATCATATTTTAAAATCTACTGATTTTTGTATATTAGACCTTTACTGAATTTATTAGTTTGAACAGACTTTTGGTAGGGTCGTAAGTGTTTACATATATAAAATCATGTTACCTACAAATAGAGATACTTCACTTCCTTTTTTCCTATTTGTACAATCTCATTTTTTTTTTCTTTTTCTCTTTTTCTTTTTCTTTTTGAGACAAGGTCTCACTATGTAGCAGTGCAGGCTGGCCTTGAACTCGCCGCAGTGTTCTTGCCTGTCTCTGCATGCTGGGATTACAGATGAGCACCACCACGCCCTGATTTTATGTCTCTCTTCACTAATGGCTTTGGTTGGTAGTTCCAGTGCCAAATTGAATGATACTGGAAGTGTCTTGTTCCAGATCTTGGATTCTACATATTTTCCTCAATAAGTATGATATTAGCTGTGGTATTGTCATACCTAGTTTTTATAATGTTGTGGTACATATCTTTTATCCCTACTTTTTTGAGGATATTTATCTAAAAGAGCTCAATTTTATTGAATACCTTTTTTTACATCTGATCATACAGTGTTTGTCTTTCATTGTGTTTAGATACTGTATAATACTTACTGATCTGTGTAAGGTGACCTGTCCTTTCATCTCTGGGAGGCCTCATATCTCGTGACAGTGCATGATATTTTTGTTATGCTATTGGATTCAATTTGGCAATGCTCGGCTGAGGATTTTTACCTCTGTGTTCATGAGTCATACAGATCTATAATTTTCTTTTTGTGTGTACATCTTTCTCTGGATACAGTATCAGGTTAAAGCTGACTTTGTAGAACTAGTTTGAAAAAATTCCTTCTTACTTTTTTTACAGTAGTTTGAAATATTTTGGTATCATTCTTTAAAAGTTTGGTAAGATTCAACAGTGAAACCTTTCAGTCCTTGGCATCTTTGTTGGTAGATTGTTAATTACTGCTTCAGTGTACTTACTGTTTTGTTCAGATTGTCAATATCTGTAGATTTCAAATTTTGTAACATATATGTGTCAAGAAATTACTAAATTTGTTTTCAAGTGAGATAGCGTATTGTTTTTAATATTCCATCATGCTCATTGCATTTCTGTGGTAGCAGTTATAGCCTCCGACATATTTTCAGCTCTCGTTTACTTAAGTCTTCATTGTTATTGCTGTCATCCTTGTTAGTGTTAGGCTAGCTAAAGTTTGTTAATTTTTTGAAGAACTGTTTGCTTCACTGATTACTTATATAAATTTTTAATCTTTATTTATGTTTACTCTGATCTTTATTATTTCTTCTACTAACTTTGGGTTTGTTTTTGTTTTTCTAGTTCAGTGAGGTGCAATGATAGGTTGCTTATTTGAGCCATTTCTATATTTATGAGGTAGGCACTTGTTGCTGTAAATTTCTCTCAGCACTGCTTTTACTAAAGTCTATAAGTTTTGGCATGTTGGTTTCATTTCAGTTTTTTAAAAAATTTATTTACTTATCTATTTATTTATTTGGTACAGGGTCTCACTACACAGCTCAGATTCATAGTGATCTTCCTGTCTCAGCCTCCCCTGCACTGGGATTATAGGCGTGCACCACCACACCTGGTTCCAGGGCTAGTACAGCATGTGATACTGGGGATCGAACTTGGGACCTTGTACCTTCCAGACAGGCGCTTAGACAGCTGAGTTATCTCCCCAGCCCTCATTTTCATTTGTTCAATACATTTTTATGTTTTCCTTTTGTTTATTGACCAATGGGTTGTTTAAGAGCGTGTTGTTAAGTTTCTATGTATTTTTAAAATTTGTAAAAATACAGTTTCTAAAATCTCTGTTATTGTGCTGATTTTCAGCCCAGGACAGGTATGCTGTGACATCCCTGGCTGTAGGGCAGGGCGTCACCAGTGTCCAAGGTTCTGCTGCTTTTAAAGGGCATCTGACAGGTCAGGCGCTCAGGGCAGGCTGCTTAGAGCAGGCCGCATGGTGCCAGCCTGAGCAGTAGGTGGGCAGAGCCACACACTGCCTCGTGGCCTACAGATGGGCAGCGTGAAGGTGGCAGCAGTCCAGGTAGGGGAGGCACAGTGGAGCTGGGCTCCTTTTGGAGGGTATCATGGTATGGATTCGCTGCAGGTTTCCTCAGCTAGGCTTGGCCTGGGAGGGCTGCAGATGCCTCCAGTGGCAGTAACTCAGGTGTCCCCGCAGTGGTGAGCACTGCTGGGCCCCTCTGCTCACTTGTCCCCACTGTGTGATCCCTTTGGGCTTATGGCTTATCGCAGCTGGGAATACTGAGCGGCAGGTGATGGTGATGGTGATGATGGTGATGATGGTGATGATAGTGATGATAGTGATGGTGATGATGATGGTGATGGTGGTGATGGGGATGATAGTGATAGTGATGATGATAGTG